AGTGCTAATTAAGGTAGTAATTAAGTAGTTACTAAGCGTGAATCATTATTAATTAAGTCTTTGTTCATACTTTATTAAGGCTAAATAAGGTGTAGTTATTATAAAGTGTTACCGAGTTACTCAAACATGTGTGAATGAAACAAAACACAACTCCAGGTCTGTTTTTGAGGACGAAACAGAGTCTGGGCAGGTCCAAAATAAGTGAGAGATGGTGTCGTTTTTCAGTTTGTAAAATGTACAGTTTGTGTCCATTGCTCTTCTAAGATGATTCTCTAGCAGATAACAGTGATGTAGAAGTTTGTAGCAGATTTCCCTTTACTTGTTGGTGATGAGATATTTGTGAGGTCATGTCTGTACATTTTTCCATGGAATATTGTCAGTAGAGTCCAGCTGCTAACAGTGCACAAGTAGGGCTCCGTTTGGGAGGTGCACTTGTAGTGATAATCGCTCTTTTTCCGCAGTGACTCATTATAAGACAAGTTTAATTGAAGATGAAGCCAAGTAAGTTCCTTTTGAAAAGTTTTTCAAAGTTTCGTGCACAGCGTCTTCACTCACGCCTGCTCAAGCCGACATCTTCAGGTGCGGCCCTGTCCTGCCGCTTCCCCAGTTTAGGCTCCTGGCTCCACTAATGACATCACTCTGTTACAGCCAATGAAACAGCGGCAGGTGTAACCCTGTCGTCATATCACTGAATACATCTCAGAACATCTAATAAACAAAACGTAAACTAAAACATGTTAAATTAATACTACTGAGTTTGGAAAAATGTTGAAATAAATAAATTTTTTGTTGTTTAAAATAAAATGGCAAATATTGGTCGGGACTATTTTGTCTTCCCCAAATATTGGTTGTGACATGTCCCCACCGTCCCTATGTAAACCTGTGCCCCTGAATAACAGACTCTGAAACATTCCAGACAAAGCAATAACATCTCAAAGTAAAGCTTCTGACGGACCCTCCACCAGAAAAATTACACTATGCGCCTTTAAAGCTCACAAAAGAACTGTAGACTCAGTCATTTTACAAACATTTACAAAAGCTGATATAGTTTTTATAAATGTTTGTAATGTGAGTGCTTTGCTGGCTCTGTTACCCATTAGGACCCAAACCCTGTCAGACCCCGGCAGGATTTACACATACGTTTTGATTAAGTGCAGTATTTAACCTTTGTCGTGGGTGGTCCATCACCTACTTGTCTCCCTGGAGATGTTATTGCAGGTGGCAGACCCTCCACCGAATATGAGTCAGTGTACTTTAAAACTATCAATCTGTCAACCTTTAAACCAGGCTATAAATGTCCCAGTCTGGCCTGTCATGATAATTAGTCTATACTATATGGACTGGGGATGGGACAAGGTCTCGTGCCGCAAGATCTCGCGAGACCAAATTGCCACAAGATTGGGCACACGTGAGAAAAATTATCTTGTGAGATTTCTTTTCCATGTTTTTACATTTGGATTTCTCTATGTTCTTGGGCTGCTCCCCCTCCTCCAACGCACACATCTCAAGTAAATGATGTGCGAAGTTCTCATTCTTTTACATTTGGATTCGGAAAAAAAATTGTTGGTAGATTTAAATATTGTTGTGTTACAGTTTTTGAGAAGCTGTAGTTCCGAAAAAGCAGAGCTACAATGACCGGAGAAATATTAAGTAAAGTAAATCAAAAATGGTGAGCCCAAAATTGGAAACTGGATTGTACAATTTACAGTATGTGTTACAAATGTACCATATTTTTTGGACTATAAGTCACTCCAGAGTATGAGTCGCACAAGCCAAAAAATGTGTTAGGAAGAAGAAAAAAATATACGTCACACCGGACAATAAGTCACACTTTTTGGGGGAAATTTATTTTGTAAAATCAGAGACCAGGAACTGACATTTCACCTTGAAAGGCAAAGTATAATAATAAAAATAGAAGAGAGATCAACAGACTCTTAACGTAACATATGAACAGTTCTTCAAATAACTATAGCATAAACAACAGAACAGAACAAGTTTACCAAACTCTCCATCTCACTCCAAATCACTAAATCCATTAAATTCTTCATCCTCGGTGTCACTTCTGAGCAACTCCGCGACCTCCAGAGGTAAACAGAGCGCCGCTTCTTCTTCTGTGTCGCTGTCGTCAGACTCAGCATCAGTTCCAGTTAGAATTATTCCGGCCTTTCTGAATCCCGACAGGATGGTTTCGGTGTCACTGAAGTCCAGGCTTCGTCGATCCATCCAGTGACTTCCAGGAAAGTTGCACGGTGCATCCTCCCGGTTACCGTGAAGCTGTGTTCTCCATCCCCGCTTTCCGCCAGTCCTTCACAAGTTTCTCGCTCACTCCAAACTTTCTTTCTGCTGCTCGATTACCGTTTTCAGCTGAATATTTCACTACTCACAGCAGAACAGAGGCTCTTTCTGCAGGAGACATGCGCAGTAGAGTGAAGTGACAGTGGTACAGGAGGAACAGGAGCAGCAGATACTGACACACAAGACTAGAGCCTCTCACGACTGTCAGTGTGAACATTTGAATATATAAGTCACACTGGAGTATGAAAAAAGTGCGACTTATAGTAAAAAAAATACGGTATGTCTAAATCTCGTCTTGGCTCATACTCGTAGATCCAATCTCGTGTCTCATCTCATCTCTGGTATTCTCAGTATTTATCATGTGTACATTTTATCTTACATTTTGGTTATTTTTTGGCTATATGAGAAGATTTGAGCCGTAAAAACTGAATTAAAACCTTCTATGACTTATTACAGATTCAAACTAAGTCTGAAAGTGTTTCATTCTGTTGTTTATTTTTTACAGCTCGTGTTTTTTTTTTACAGTATTGTAGAGTTCGAATAGTTTTGTGGTTTAAATCTGCTCCGGGGCTTTTGTGTCAGTGGAATAAATTAGTCTCAGTATTAACGTTCATCGTCTGTGTTTCCTTCAGCAATACATCGCATTTCAGATTTGTTATTGTGACAGACCTGAGCCATTATTTTACTGTATCCTGACTTTCCCCATCTATTGTAAACAGCTGAAATACTGTTACCTAACACAGAACGGAATAAATTTAGGCTTAGACAAACTTTATTGATCCACAAGGGAGTTTTTTTGGACACAGCAGCTCACACGTCACAATATATTATAACAACAAAGAGCAAAACATATAAATTGTAATAATACATTCAAAATAAGTATCCAATGTTTTCCATCTAAACTATCATTGACCACGTTTACATGATGTTATTTAATTCCAAATTAATTATTCTGAATTAAATAGTTCATAATTAAAATATTCTCCTTTGAGTTTAGATGGAAATAATAATTCTGAATTAACGTTTACATGGAAAACACGTTAAATAGCCTTTATTTAATTGCACTCAATGTCTGGGGGTGGGGAAGGGATCTGGTTGAACAGAACAAACACAAATATATTTACGTCGACTGGAAGAAAACAAACACTTCAGCTGCTATTGACTGACACAAACATGATCCAAAGTTTTTTCGCAGTTGTTCCATTGATAATGAAGCAGCAGCTGGAGAATTCTCTCCTTGCGCTTTACGTCTGTCAGCTGAGGAGGAGAAGAGAGGAAAAAGACAAACTGAGTCGATGGCTGCTCTACCTCAGCCCACTCCCGCATCCCGATCACAAATCCAAAGAGATGTGGATGAAAGTCCGAAGTGAGGACTGGTTGGAGCCGGATTGTCTGAATCAAGAAATGAATTAATTTCCTTTAAAATCGGAATAAACCACCCACTTACTTCGGAATTAAGTTTAATTCCGAATACCGTATTTTTCGGATTTATAATCCGGTGCGCCTTTACGCATTAATTCTGGTTGTGCGTACCAACCTCGGATCGATTTTATGTGGTACACGGTGCTCAAAAATCAAAGTGTTTTAGTATCCATCCATCCATCCATTTTCGTCCGCTTATCCGGGGCCGGGTCGCGGGGGCAGCAGTCTAAGCAGGGACTCCCAGACTTCCTTCACCCCAGACACGTCCTCCAGCTCCTCCGGGGGGACCCCGAGGCGTTCCCAGGCCAGCCGAGAGACATAGTCCCTCCAGCGTGTCCTGGGTCTTCCCCGGGGCCTCCTCCCAGGTGGGACATGCCCGGAACACCTCCCGAGGGAGGCGCCCAGGATGGCATCCGAAACAGATGCCCGAACCACCTCAACTGGCTCCTCTCGACGTGGAGGAGCAGCGGCTCTACTCCGAGCTCCTCCCGTGTGACTGAGCTCCTCACCCTATCTCTAAGGGAGCGCCCAGCCACCCTGCGGAGGAAACCCATTTCAAGCGCTTGTATCCGCGATCTCGTCCTTTCGGTCACTACCCAGAGCTCATGACCATAGGTGAGAGTAGGAACGAAGACTGACCGGTGTTTTAGTATGACTTTGGTAAACTACGAACCCGAACTGCTTGATGGATTGTCGTGTCCTTTAGTCCGATAAAAGCTGACTGCATCAGCTGTACAAGGAGCAAGCTGTTTTTTCAGTGCTTAAAATTTATGCAAATGAGCCATGTGGTTTTAAGTTTCATTGCTGTAAAACATAAAGAAATGTGTGCAAAGCTGCATTAAACACATTATTACTCAGTGTATATTTGAGTCCTCGTAGGAAATAAAAACAACAAACTTAAATGATCCATTCACATTCATAATCCACATTCACCAAGACAGGGAGACAACACCAGATGAATTACGTCACAATCTGCCAGTGGATCGTGGACGCCTGGACTAAGGGATCAGTCTCAAGTATCGCCCATTTGTTTCACTTAATGCACCTTATAATCCAGTGCGCCACATGTAGGAAAACAGACGAGAGAATTCAACATTATTCATATTGCGCCTTATAGTCCGAAAAATACAGTAATCATTTTCGTTAGGAATTAAGTGTTTATGTGATCTTTTTGAAGCGGAATACATTTTTCTTCAGAATTTAATAAATTTTAGTCGGAATTAAAGCTCTCATGTAAACGCAATTGTGTCCTTGGGCAAGACACTTCTCCCACATTGCCTAGTATGAAAGTGGAGTGTGTGCTGGTGGTGGTCGAAGCCGTGAGTTTGTCTCAGGGCAGATGTGGGAATAGTTTTACCACCACTGAGTATGGAATGAATAAAGCGCTTTGGGTGTTTTGAAAGGCGCTACATAAATACAATGATTGATTAATTCATTCATTCATTGAGTCTTTGTGGTTATGCTTTGATTTAACATGCATTTTTCTCTTTTTTCTCCCATAGGTGCCTCCTGTCCCCACCCTCCCTCCAGCCCGTCCCAGCCAGACGCCCAGACCACCAAACTGTAACACCAGCCTTTGAAGCACTTTCCCATTACCCCGGCCAGCCACCCAATCAGGAGCCAGATGGCACTTCTGGCCAATCAAATCATGGACGCCAGACTCCTCAGCAGCATGAACGGCAGAGTGGAGCTTTCACATTTTCTGAGGGTGACCAATCAAACCCTCCCGTCGCATTCCAACTCCCCGCCGGACGACAGCCATAAAAACAGGAAGTACCCGTGCCCCCTGTGCGGCAAACGCTTCCGATTCAACAGCATTTTGTCTCTTCACATGAGAACGCACACGGGGGAAAAGCCGTTTAAATGCCCGTACTGCGACCACAGGGCAGCTCAGAAGGGCAACCTCAAGATCCACCTACGCACCCACAAGCAAGGCATTCTGGGTAAAGGTCGCGGTCGGATAAGGGAGGAGAACAGGCTGCTGCACGAGCTGGAAGAAAGAGCTATAATGAGGGATAGGCAAATGAAGACCAGCCATGTAACGATAAATGCTAATGGAAACCAACAACAAAGCTCGCCATTGGCCCAGACAGTGATTAACACGCAGCCGTTTATGCCTGAGTCCACTTCGCGTACCTCGACATCGCCGATCGCTTCCGTACAAGAGGAACCACAAGCCGGAACGCCGCCTGGTTTCCGCTGTTCTTTCTGCAAAGGCAAATTCCGGAAGCAACAGGAGCTGGATCGCCACATCCGCATCCTCCACAAACCCTACAAATGCACTTTGTGTGACTTCGCCGCGTCGCAAGAAGAAGACCTCATCGGCCATGTCGAAACGGCGCACATCACCGCGGACCAGGGCTCCAAAGCGGCGGTGACTGGGTCAAGCGAAAAAACAAAATCGACCGGTGAATTCCCGTGCGAGGTGTGCGGACAAACCTTTAGCCAAGCCTGGTTTCTCAAAGGACACATGAGGAAACACAAGGATTCATTCGAACACTGCTGCCAGATCTGCGGACGACGCTTTAAAGAGCCTTGGTTTCTCAAGAACCACATGAAAGTCCACCTCAACAAGTTAGCGGTGAAGGGCAACCTCGCCGAACAGCACGATTCTCTTGGTATGCTATCTCAAGAGCATCGAGGCAACATCTATTCTCAGTATATGTCCAGGATTCATGACAGGTTTATTTCCGATAGAGAGCAAAGTGAGTACAGCAACATGATCGGCGTGGACATCAAGGTCAGAGAGATGTTACAGAGAATGGTGACTCAAAACGCGCCAATAACCGACCTCGAAAACTTAAATCGTCTTCACAATTCGCTGAGCATGGAGTATCTGCAGAAAGTCGTCGCTAACAGCGGCAGCAGCAGCAGCGGTGGTGGTGGTGGTAGTGCTGGTGGTGGTTATCCAGGGTGGCAGATCATGACTCCAGGGATTCCTTCCGATCAGCAGATGTTCAAAAGCCAGCAGAGCGCCGCCTACCTGTCTGGAGAAGACGGCGATCCAGAGGCGAAGGGGATGAGCAGGCCCAGCAGCGCAGGAGCGTCCGAGATCATCGGCGAGACCGGGAACTCCCGCTCCACGAGCAGCCTGGAGCACACGCCGCAGTCCACCTCTCCAGCTACAGGTAACTAGGGCTGGGGATTGTTAAGAAGTTACAGATACAATACATATCTCGATAAATAGTCCACGATCTAATAGATACCTCAATACATAGGCCACGATACAATACATACCTCGATACAGTGTGCTTTCGATTCAATACGATTTGATACGATATATTTCAAGTCGATTTGACAGGGTAAAAACTGCTGTGATACTAAAAGTATTTGTTAAATCACTTCTTGTGCAAAGTGAATATGAAACACAAACATTTCACTGCAAAAACTAAAATCTAGTCAAGATAAGATGACTTAAATTCACAAAGTTTTATCATGATTTGAGTAAAATCATCTGCCAGTGGAACAAGACTTTTTGTACTTAAAATATGAAAATACATTTTGCTCCACTTAAAATAAGAAAAACAACAACTTTTTACACTTAAAATAAGAAACAAAATCAAATGTTGCTTGAATAAAAAAAAAAACACACTTATTCCATTGGTAGATAATTTTACTTGTCAAGTTAAATCTACTCAAATAAAGTAAAATATTCTTAATTTAAATCATTTTAACTTACTTAGATATTTCTTTTTGCAATGTTTAATCATCAGAATGTCAAATGTGTTGCCTATACAAGTTTCCTTCCACTAAACAAGCAACAAAACTGTAGCACTGTAACAAAATAATTTTGTAAAATATACCAAAAAATACTCTTGGTGACATATCAGTACAGCAGCCCATGATATCGATACTGTATCATCACATTTAACAATGTGATATATCGATATTTCAATATTTTTGCACACCTGGAGTGTGGAGTGGAGTGATAACTGAAGATCTTCTTATATAATGTTTAAAGGTTCTATATGACACAAAATTGACTCTTGTGAGCTTTAAGTCATGTTAATTATATTGTTATCTCATCAAAAACAGAGCTGGAGTTGTGTTTTGTTTAATTCTTGTTTGAGTTATCCAGCATTATTAGTTTGTTTACATTTCCAAATCTTAAAACACTCTTTTCCACCTTCTAATGTCAAATTAACAGCTCAACCTTTTTACCTTTTGTTCAGTAGATACTGACAATCCCAGGGCTGAAATGCTCCAAATGATTCTAGTGAAGGTGTTTGGAGTTTAAAAACACAGTGAAGCACTTCCTGTATCACCACATTTTCAGTTTCAGAGAAGAATTCAGCGTAAATCTGCAGGTTTTGTGTGTTAAACATATGCGAATGAAACAAAACTCAACTCCAGGTCTGTTTTTGATAAGGAAACAACTTTAACAACTTTATAACATGGCTCAGAACATAACGTAATTTGGGCCCTTTATAAGATAATACTATTTGAAAGACATAACTAAAGAAATAAAACAACTCCTACCGAGATGCTTTTACTATCTCACCGCCATTTAATTTCTCTTAGCTCAGAAAAATGGTGCTAGCAATTTAACAGAAAGATTACATACCAGCATGCAATCACAGGCTACAATTACTAAAGAAAATCTGAATTATAATGCCGGCTATAATCTATGTTATTTCATGTTAAAACAGTGTGTCCCCTGGCCCTTTCTTTGTTCATTTGTAGTGTAGGTGGACATGGATCTTTGGGTCACCACAGATATTACTGTCTCCACCGTGGACTGTGTTTTTTCCTTTATTAAAGAGACTGGCATCATGTCGAAAGGGAGGGGTAATTAGTACCCTCTTTTTTTATATGTGCCACATCCCCAGCCTTTGCCTACGGGGGCACAAGATGTTAATGCATGCCATCTGGTGTTTTTAATGATTTGATCTATACCACCCAGTGATTTTTATGATTTGATCTACCACCTGGTATTTTTATTGATAGTCTTCTGTTCCACCTGCGATTTGGCTGCCACGGATGCCTGGGTAAAACGCCTTTCTTGTCGTGGCATCCTGCTAACCCGCTATATGGTGAATGTAAACTAGGACTGCACAAAAAGCAATACAAAAATGATACAATTGCGTTTTCTTTTCTTGCATTTTTTTTTCTTTTTTGATTTTTTTGACATTTTGTTTGAGTTATTTGTGATTTTTTGAATTTTTTAGCTGTTTTTGCGATTTTTTTGGTGGTTGTTTTGCGCATTTTGCAATTGTGATTAGATTTGTGATATGTTTAAACAGAGGATTCTGTCCTTCGTACACTTTGTAGACAAAAGCACAACATTTGAGAGAAGACTGCAATATGATTTGATAAAAAAGTCATGTGTGTAGAGATCTAAACTACAGGGTTAGCAGCTTTTACAGTGAATACGACCCCATGGAGACACAGGGAGGGCAGGAAGGACCATTTCAGAGCATATTTGTAGGCATCTAAACTACAGATATTTTTGTCAATTTTTGGGTGATTTTTGTTGGTAATTTTTTAGCAAATTTTGGAATTTTTTGTGGGGTTTTTAGTGATTTTTTTTTTCCTTTTTTTTTTTTTCAATTCCTTAGTGTTTTTTGTGGGTTTCTTGATTTTTTATTTTATTTTATTTTTTTGCAATTTTAATGCTCTTTTTTCTTTGCACATTTTTGCAGATTTGATATATTTGTGATATTTTTAAACAGAGGCTTCTGACCTGATTGCACATTGTTGACAACAGCACAGCATTTGAGAGAAGACTGAAATATGATTTGATAAAAAAGACAAAGTGTTTAATTAATTTCTCAACATGTTTGTAGAGCTCTAAACTACAGGATTAGCAGCTTTTACACAGAATACCCATTGGAGACACAAGGAGGGCATCTGACACAGGACCATTTCAGAACATATTTGTAAACATCTAAACTACAGATTTGTTTGTAATTTTTTATTGATTTTTTTTGTAATGTTTTGGTGATTACATTTTTTTTTTTTTTTTGAATTTTTAGTAATTTTTTTGTAATGTTTTGGTGATTTTTTTTTGGTAATTTTTAGCTAAGTTTTATGATTTTTTTTTTTTTTTTTTTGCCTTGTTAAAATTTTCCTATCTTTGCTTTTTTGCAGATTTTTTTTTGTAGTTTTTTGTGATTTTTTTGTGGAGTTTTTTTTGCTCTTTTTTGCATTTTTTTTTGCAATTTTTTTGCAATTTTTTTTTTTTGCTGTGATTTTTTTTGGCACATTTTGCAATTGTGATTACATTTGCAATATGTTTAAACAGAGGATTCTGGTCTGAGTACACACTGTAGAGAAGACTGAAATTTGATCTGATAAAAAAGACAAGAGTCTAATTTATTTCTCAAAGTTTATAAAAGTCTAAACTACAAGGTTAGCAGCTTTTACACCGAATAAGACCCCATGGAAACACAGGGAGGGCATCTAATTCACAGAGAGGACATTTGACCCACAGGAACATGTTTGTAAAGGTCCAAACTGCCAGAACAACAAGATCTTTCTGTAAATTCTATTCTTACCAGAGGACATTGTACTATCTAAATAATTGCGGCCTTTGCAATTTGATAATTGCGCCAACTCAAAGTGCCATTTCGATTCATCATTTATACGCCTGTATATACGTTTGTGCAGCCCTAACCTAAACTACAGCCAGACAAGAGCAAAAACACCACAAACCCTTTTTCTTTCTGTTTTCATTTGTTCCTACTGGAGTCAGCTTTCAAAAGTCTGGAGCAGCCATTTGGGACATGATCCAATATCCTCTTAAATGGTGTCCGTGCAGCTGTGATAAAAGGATCAGGTCTAATCCCGTTACAGTTTTTGTTCCCATATTGTCAACATATATTGTATCTGCATATTTACATGTTCACGTCTATACATTCTCAGGGACTATGCGTGGCCCCTTGTGTTTTTTCTTAAAGGTGCTTTGTGTAACTTTTCCGGTGGAGGGTCCGTCAAAGGCTTTTCTCCATGGAGATGTTGATGCTTTGTTTAAAATGTATGGGATTAAACCTTTTTTATCTTCACGGAGACCAAACAAGACCAAGTTGTCATGCTGTGGAACATTTCAGGCAGAGCAATGAAACAAGCAAGTCCAAGTCCATGTCCAAGTCCAAGTAATTTCCCTTGTGGATCGATAAAGTTTGTCTAAGACCAACTAAAAAGTTACACAGTGCACCTTTAAGCACTTTTAGATCTTAATTATTTGGATTAATTCATGACCAGAAAAGTAGCAGAATTACAGTTTTGTTAGTCTCAACAAAATATGGCAATAATTATCTTTCTGTGAGATGCATTTCGTGAAAAGATCGTATCGAAATTTGGACATCATAACATCCCTAATGACATACATGCGTCCCCCTTTTTCTTTTTTTTTTTTTTTGCTTTTATCTCTCACACTGTACATCAAACATTTTACAAAACATTTTACATTTGTTAGGGAGGGCATCTGGTGAAATATCTTCTATTCCAAATCAAGTCTACTTTTCTTTATCACATAGCTAAACATAACTTTGTTTTGTTTTACTACATGGTTTAAAGGTACACTTTCTTTGGGGATGTCATTGCTTTGTTTGGAATGTTCCACAGTATGACATTCAACACATTTATTTTAGATCTTGTTTATTTAATTACAGCTGGTTGTATAACTCAAAAATACCTAGAAAAACCAATATCGTCAGTCTGCAGAACATAAATGGGCATTTCTTTCCTAAACGGGAACACCTCCAGTTTTCTTCTTCTTCTTCCACGAGGAACAGTCAACATCCGGTCGAACATGTACGTCAGAGTAAGAGCTGTACATTGACGTTAGCACTGAACCCATAAACATATATAGATGTATACGTGCCTATGATTGAACTGAGTAGTAAAAGCAGGAACTTCAGTGGTTGAAACACAGCTGCAACATGTGTGTTTCACAAGAGGTTATGTCTGTAAGTATCATTTATTTGTACAGTTAGAACAATTCCAGCGTCATGTTAAATGTACATAAACAGAATGATGTTAGACGATCAATTGCCAACGTCAAGCCTCATGCCGTGCTATCGTTAACTAACTTGTAAACTTGGTTGCTTTCATTTTCAGCGTAAGTACTGGAGGGGCTCTGATCACATTCTAACATCATTCTGTTTATGTATATTTAACATGACGC